TACGTTCAGGTATTTCACATCCAATATTTTATGGTAATATTCTTTACAAAGCACAATAAAATGCTCCGCTGAGCGCAGCTTGATACGACAGCAGAGGTCGAACCCTGAACAGTTGGGGCAAGTATGGACTCAACATTCAAGCTTAATACAGCACTGAATTTGGATTGTGATTAAATATTTGACACAGCATAGGTTTCTGACACAGAATGAATGTGGTCTAAGAACTTAAAAATTTTTAATTTACCTATTCATACCATATCATTATTATTTGCTTTTATATATAAATCAGAAAGTACCAATTTAAACTGGAAAATTTTAAAGAAAAAAAAAGGAATGAATGTGGATAGTGTCCACATGTGGACACAGATGATGCCCCACTTGCATATCATATAGTTATAAAGGGACATAACTGAAGAACGGTAAAAGTGACGCTACCCAAATTTGAACTTGATCTGAGTTTTGTGGTAATAAGCATTGTGTGTAAGTCTCATAACATTTGGTTGAGGCTAACTTAAGAAGAGAACAGAAACTAAAAATTCAGCAATTTTTCTATTTGTAAACACGCATAGCTCTAGAACGGTTGTGTATAAGTTTTATAACATTTGGTTGTGACAAACTAAAGTTGGAGAACAGAAACGAAAAAATCAGCAATTTTTAAGTTTATAAAGGGATATAACTCAAGAATGGTAAAAGTGTCGCCACCAAATTTCGTACTTCATCTGTACTATGTAGTAATAAGCATTGTGTATAAGTTTCATAATATTTGGTTGAGGCAAACTAAAGTTAGAAAACGGAAACAAAAAATTTGAACTTGATCTTAGTTTTGTGGTAATGAATATTGTGTATAGGTTTCATAATGTTTGGTTGGGGCAAACTTAAGTTAGAGATTGGAAACTAAAAATTTTGCAATTGTATAAAGTATTGATTGCAGTTGATTCAACTATAATCATGAACAAAGGATAACTCCAATTTTAAAAATTACTTGATATTTAGAAGAAAATAAAAATTTTGCAATTTTTTCATTTATAAAGGGGCATGACTCTAGAACGGTTAAAGTGACGCCACCTAAATTCAAACTTGATCTGTGTTTTGTGGTAATAAGCATTGTGTATAAAGTTTCATAACATTTGGTTGACGCAAACTTAAGTTAGAGAACGGAAACTCAAAATTTTGCAATTTTTCCATTTATAAAGGGGCACAACTCTAGAACGGTTAAAGTGACGCCACCAAAATTCAAACTTGATCTGTGTTTTGTGGTAATAAGCATTGTGTATAAGTTTCATAACATTTGGTTGAGGAAAACTTAAGTTAGAGATTGGAAACTAAAAATTTTGCAATTTTTCCATTTATAAAGGGGCATAACTCTAGAACGGTTAAAGTGACGCCACCAAAATTCAAACTTGATCTGTGTTTTGTGGTAATAAGCATTGTGTATAAGTTTGATAACATTTGGTTGAGGCAAACTCAAGTTAGAGAACAGAAACATATTTTGGGACATACGTACAGACGGACAAGGGTAAAAATTTATGCCCCCACCGCCACGGCGGGGGCATAAAAAAAGGAAAAAAAAATTCCCTCCCCCCAAATTTTTTGAACCCCCTTATGATTCATCACCCCCCAAACTCAATCCCAGCCTTCCCTTTGTGGTATGGTACCTTGCAGTACAATTTCAGAGAGATCCATACACTTGAACACAAGTTATTGTCTGGAAACTAGAAAAATGCTTGTTTTAGGCCCCTTTTTGGCCCCAAATTCCTAAACGTTTAGGGCAATTACCCCCAAACTCAAACCCAGCTTTCAGTTTGTGATATGGAACCTTGTAGTACAATTTCATAAAGATCCATACACTTACACACAAGTTATTGTCCTGAAACTAGAAAAATGCTTGTTTTTTGCCCCTTTTTGACCCCTTATTCCTAAAATTTTGAGGCAATTACCCCCAAAATCAATCCAGCCTTCCCTTTGTGGTATGGTACCTTGCAGTACAATTTCAGAGAGATCCATACACTTGAACACAAGTTATTGTCTGGAAACTAGAAAAATGCTTATTTTTGGCCCCTTATTCCTAAACGTTTTGGGCAATTACCCCCAAACTCAATTCCAGCTTTTCCTTTGTGATATGGAACCTTGTAGTACAATTTCAGAAAGATCCATACACTTGCACACAAGTTTTTGTCATGAAACTAGAAAAATGCTTGATTTTGGCCCCTAATTCCTAAAATTTTGAGGCAATTACCCCCAAAATCAATCCCAGCATTCCCTTTGTGATATGGAACCTTGTGGTACAATGTCAGAGAGATCCATACACTAACACACAAGTTATGTCTGGAAGTTACAAAAATGCTTACCGGTATTTTTGGCCCCTAATTCCTTAACTGTTAGTACCATAACCCCCAAAGTCAATCCCAACCTTCCTTTTGTGGTATTGAACCTTTTGGTAAAATTTCATAGAGATCCATTCACTTAAACTAAAGTTAGAGTTTTCGGACGACGACGACGCCAACGTCATACGACCGCAAAATTTTTTTGCGGTTGTATAAAAATGTTGGCATTCACCTCAAAAGCTAACCAAACCTTTAAACAGACTTATTCGGAAAGGATATAGTTACGATACTGTTGTCAAGTCATTAAGGATTGCATATTTTGGTATTAATATTGATTCACTCAAAGGGTCTTTGCATTGGAAATAAACACATTTATTCTAAAACCAGTTGTTGGCATGATTCGAGCTATGTTCTTCTCATATATTTTATGATGGTGTGATACTAAACCCCTAACGGGAGGGATTGTACTTGATTTTCATATGATGAAGACATAATCTTTCAATCAGTTTAATTGAGGTCTGGAGCTGGCATGTCGGTAACTGCTAGTAGTCCTTTGTTCATTTGTGTATCATTGTCATTTTGCATACTTTCTTTTGTTACCTATTCTGACATCGGACTTCTTTTAAACAGAGTTTTACTGTGCGTATTGCTATGTGTTTCTTTATTCTACATTCATGATTGGCTAGAGGTATAGGGGGAGGGTTGAGATCTCACAAAACATGTTTAACCCCGCCGCATTTTTGCGCCTGTCCCAAGTCAGGAGCCTCTGGCCTTTGTTAGTCTTGTATGTTTTTTAATTTTAATTCATTTATATAGTTTTGTAGTTGAGTGTGACGTCCATTTTCACTGAACTAGTACACATTTTTATTTAGGGGCCAGCTGAGGACCACCTCCAGGTGTGGGATTTTCTCGCTGCGTTGAAGACCCATTGGTGGCCTTCGGCTGTTGTCTGCTCTTTGGTCGGGTTGTTGTCTCTTTGACATATTCCCCATTTCCATTCTCAATTTTAGCTTTATAATTAGGTGGTTTCTAAGTCCTTAATCAATTGATCTGTAATTGCCTTTATCTCAATTTCGTTCTTGTCATAATCAGTTTGTGTCGATTATCTCCCTTGTCAATAATAACATTGTATAGGTTTTCATATATCACAATGTTGTGCCATTCTACAAATACGGTTATCTCTTAAGTCACAATGTGATGCAAATAATATAGAACACTCTGAGCGCTGGTTTATGTTCTTCATCACGATCTTCAAAAGAGAGACATAGGATCTCTGTGTCAAAACATTATCTGCTATCTTACATTATTTATACTAGAAATTTCACAATTGTGTCTAATTGAAATGAATAATCTTAATTTTATCTGCAGACAAGTGTATGTTAACATCATATTTTATTATGTGGGCAAATTATCTCCCTTGTCACAATGTAATAGAAAGCAGTCCTATATATTATTTCTTATATTTTCATGGCAACATTAATTGGACAAATTTTATCCTGAATGTTTGCAAAGCAAAAGCACAAAACCACATTGGCATAAAGAAAATAACTAGACTTACAAAGAATATATGCATCATTCCATACCCCTTGAATGGTGTATTGTTTTCTGATTATTTCTTGCTGCATCTTCTAAATAGCATGTTAATGGTCTCCCTTATCAATATGGTTCATCCAAAACATTTTATAACTCCTAAAGATATATATCAGGAAGCTATTGTATAAGTTTGTGAATAGATTTCAAAAGAGAGACATAGGATCTCTGTGTCAAAAAATTATCTTTGATTCTTCCTTTGACTGCTATCTTACATTATTTATACTAGAAATTTCACAATTGTGTCTAATTGAAATGAAAAATCTTAATTTTATCTGCAGACAAGTGTATGTTAACAAATGTTCATAATACAGAATTTACTCTGAATATCAACTATTAAAGTATTTGCCCAAAAGAGCGGAGAAAACCAGCTATGAATGAGGTCTTATCCCTATTATTCAGAGTCCTGATCTACCTTTGTTTAAGTTCTAAAAGGGCTGGAATCATTATTACATTATATGTAATGTAATGGACGTTAAAGGAGTCGACCAACGATTTCGTCTGAATCGACAAATTAGTAGATATTGTCCAGCTGAATGTTTTTGCTTTTTGAAGTTTCTCATTATAATTTTCTATTATGGTTTTCGAGATAAATAAGCAAAAACCACAAACAGTGGTAGAAATCATTTCTTAGGGACAATAAATCCTATATATATAAGGCCAACGATTTCAAACATGTTAATTTACATTTTCAATTTGTAGATCTTGTCTTGCTGATCGTTTTTTCTTATTTGAGGCTAATATGTAAGTCTCAACATTTTTGCTCCTGTCAGATTTTCTCAATCTTCAGCCATTTTCATGATAATAAACAAAACTTGTATTTTACCCAATGTTTCTTTTAGCCATATGCATGTAGACCGTGTTGGTTGGCAGGTTAGATCATCTGACACATATTTTAAACTAGAAACCAATGATGATTTTGGCATAAGTTTGGTTCCGATTATTTTGGTAGTTTCAGAGGAGGTTTTTATAAAAGTTAATGGGCAACAAGTGATGAGAATAGTTTATTTGACCTTTTGGGTCAGGTGTCAGAGCTAAATATAAAAATCAGATAGATCCCTGTCAGATAAAAAAGATAAGACAACAAATATGAATTGTTGTTTAATCAAAAACTCAATGATTTTAATAATGTACATACATTGTCTCATCATGAACATAATAAATCATAGGTTAATTTAACACAAATGATCAAAAAGAAGTAACATTTATATTAAAAATATTCAATTATAATTCTGCATAAACAATGTACATGTATGAAAAAAATTTACACTTAAAAGTTTTATATACATGTATAAAGTTATGGTTATTGTTTGTAGTTCAACATTAAAATTGAACAAATGATATCAGCAATACATGTACAAAGCAACTTATTCAAACTGCAGTATATACAAGAAAGAAATATAATAAGTAATTTAATATAGTTATCTGTGGACAGAAAGTTTTACATATTTTTCATTTTGATGTAACTATCAATTACTATTCATGACTCAGTTTGTGTTCATTCTCAGTAATAGTAACATGTATTTCTTTATCTTCACAAAATTTAACTTTTCCTTGTCTAAAATACGGCTCTTCAGTTCTATGCCATTCCTCAATGTTAAAATCAGAAAAGAAGAAATTAATCTCTCTTCTAGCACTCTCCTCCGAATCTGAACCATGAGTAGCATTCCTGGTATCTGTTAATCCAAATTTCCCTCGTATTGAATGTGGGTCTTCATGAACGGTTTTCAGGACTTTTGTTGGTCCCATCAACTTCCTCCAGCATTTTATAGCATCATGTTTTGCTAAGATATGAGCACTCACATGACCACTTGAAATGAAAGTAACAAGTCTATTATGAAAAAATCTCCCTTCATGCTCCTTGTAGAATTCCTCTGCTTTTGAACGTGGAAGGTAGCATGTTGTTGATTTAACAAAAAAGAATCCATCATCACGAATCATCTGTTTAATTTGTTGAACAATATGAGGTCTAGAAACAACATCTGGCTTAAAAATGGCTAAAGTTAACTGTAAAGGTTTTAACAAACAATTAGGCATCTTTTTTCTTTTTTGTTTCTTCCCACTGTAGTTTTTTGTATTTTTCTCTCAAGTATGGATCAGGACTATTTGCAAATCTCTGAAATAGAAATATAAAAAATGAAAAAAATTCTTAGAGTTCTGATTAAAACATTTTCAATCAGTCGGTGAACAAATACTTTTATATATTGTATGTACATTATACATGATTAATCAATCTGTACAAAAACTCATTGCAACATCCCAACTTTATTTTGATATTGTTCAAAATATTATACATTTATTTCCCGTGCCGGAGGGAGATATGAAGATTTGTTCACCCAAGAATATTCATATTTCACGAGGGCTCTGCCCGAGGGAAATATGATTTTTCGAGGGTGAGCAAATCTTCATATCTCCCGAGGCAAAGGGAAATGAATGTTTTATTCCACTGCCTATGCTTTGTTTACTATCAATACATTAAATATTATTTTGCATACATTTTTTTTCTTATCGGCTTGTTTTTGTAAGTCAAACTAAACACAACATACCCATTGATAAACAGTAAGGATCAAAATTTAATTATAAGTCTTTTTGTTTTATCGTCTGAAATAAATTTGAACATGATAATGATTTTTGCTATATCGCTTTTTTAATAAGAATAAGAAGTTCAAAACGTTATGTACATTAACCGCACGTAACGTCGCATGAAGTAATCCCGACATTTCAGAGGGGAATATGATCCTCAGAATGGAATATGAAGATTTGTTCAATGACACGTAGGATAGTCTCAACCAATCAAATATTGATTAAACTATCAATATGTTTAAACAGTGGAATAATATAATTTAATCAATTCATTACATTCCCACATGCACATTTGGGTCAAATGTGTTTGGTGGTATACATGTATTTGGATGTTCTGTGATGTATTAAAGATGTTTAGATGATTGGTGGCTGGGTTTTACTGGTAGACTGTTGTCTATATATCGTAAAAAATGTAGTTGTACGCTTATATTTGATCATATTGGTTTTTTTTAACAGTTAACATTAAGTTTAAATGTGTGTAGAATGATACTGAAACCTTTAGAGGCAAATCAGTTATTTTGGGTGTGCAGTGATCAGTTTTAGTGGTAGGAGGCAACAAAGTCAGAAAATTGATTTTTTTTTTAATATTTTTATCTCAAAAACATTTTAATTAGTCAAGAATGACAATGAAATCGTTTGACAGCTAGGAAAGTTCAAAACTTCTGAAGCCTAATCTAATTGCAAAGTTAAGTCTGCCCGACGCATAAATAGCATGACGCAATTCATGTGTAAGGAGACAAAAATAAAATGAAAAAGTCACTTAATTTTAGCAGTCATGAAATGTGAGTCAACCACAGGCCGCCACTAATGTCTTGTCTCTGTGAAAAACATATACCTTTCTACAAACTTTACATGCATACATGTATTATAAGGTCTATAAATATATATTTTTACAGAAACAAGTGACCATGTGTCACACTAATAGACTGTTTGAATATAGGACTGTTGGACTATATTACTGTCGGATAATTATAGGTCTTAGTACATGTACTCTTACCCCCTAATTCAAAGTACATGTACCAGGGCAGAGGTGCGATAAGAGAATATGTCTGGCGAATGAAGTCAACAGTTCAAGTGTCTCAGATTTTAAAACAGCAATAAGGTGTAGGAATAAAGCACACTTCGAATTCTGCGAATATAATTCATTGTACATGAAGTTATTGACTTGCAAGTGCAAATGACCTTTATCTGTTTATTTTTTACTTTTACATTGTTTCAAGTAATTGATTACCTGTTTCATATCAGTTTCACTCGGAGTTATCCATCTATACAGTAAGTATACACCAGCACAATATGGTAAAGAATAAAGTGACAACTTTAGAAGAGACATGATACCATACCCTCTGGATTAAAATTAAAGGACCTTCTCATTTTTCCTTGACAATCTTCAAAACGTTTTGATGTATTCTTAGATGAAGTGTTCATTTTCAAACATAGCTTTAATTCATAATTTTTAACTTGAAATTGAAGACCAATTTTCAAACTATTTCACTTTGATGTCGGTTTGATTTCCAAAAGCTCACTTTTTATGAGTAGGAATATCTTGAAATATAAACAATTTTTGGAATATCTTTATCAAATATTTTCCGTTTTGTCCAACGGTGTTTTTCCTAAACAGTTCTATAATTAGTTTCAAGCACCTAACGTACCACGACAAAAACAACAAATTCTTAACTTATGTAACATAAAATTTTATGTAAATTACTGTCGGGTACATCATTACAGGATGGAAGATGATGAAAATCAAGAAAAACCAGTGAGACAACTACTTAAACGTGTTTTCTTTCAAAGAAAGCTTCCGCGGAAGATAGAATTTTCCACCCCTACATAATTTTCACCCCGACGTTTTGGTCATGTTGGTAGTCGGGGTCATTTCGTCCCGATTCCCGTTGGCACCCAGAATTGTTTATCTCTGAATTGTATATCGGCCTTGGTGCAACAGAAGGGTATCTCCTTAGATGACAAGGTCACGATTTAAAATGGCCTAGGCTAATGTCCACAGGTCACTTTTAAGCAAACAGTTTCAAATGGTTGTGAACTACAGAACAGTTATAAAGAGATATGATTCTCGGATTTGAACATTTTCATATTTTGTAGATACCCTGACCATGTGCTGACCAAATAACCTTTTTAACACATCACAAGTGTTTTTAAATGAGACGTAAGGTCTCGAGGTCATTTAAATTTTTTTATTAATTAACATGATTAAGGACTAAAAATATTAGTGTATTCTTAATCATGTTAATCTTTAATTTACATGTACAAGAATATTAACATAAATAAAATTTAGCTTAGATGAAGACTCATTGGTGGCCTTTGGCTGTTTTCTGCTCTTTGGTCGGGTTGTTGTCTCTGAAAGATTTTCCGTTTTCATTCATACATGTAATTCTGTATCTTATAATAAACAAGTTCAGTACATGTAAATGGTAACATAATACTATGATTTTAACCATGTTGCTATCTGAATATTAGATTTTATTATAAAAAGTTCATTAAATGAGATGCTATAAAATTCAGGAAACAGGGCTATTTCAATTCATATATAGATATAAGAAGATGTGGTATGAGTGCCAATGACACAACTCTCCATCCAAGTCACAATTTGTAAAAGTAAACCATTATAGGTCAAAGTACTGCCTTCAACACGGAGCCTTGGCTCACACCGAACAGCAAGCTATAAAGGGCCCCAAAAATGACTAGTGTAAAACCATTTAAACAGGAAAACCAATGGTCTAATCTATATAAAAAACAAGTAACACTTATGAACCACATCAACAAACGACAATCACTGAACATCAGGTTCCTGACTTAGGACAGGTGCAAACAAATGCAGCGGGTTTAAACGTTTTAATAGGCGCCAACCTTCACCCTACCTGAAACAATAGTGTAACATCACAACATAGAAAGACACACTATAAAATATCAATTGAAATGGCTTAACTCAATCAAAAGACATGCTATGGTGCTATTTGAAAATCCTGGAAAGAACACAGCATATACATGTACTATGACTAGTTTAAATTTTGTCTTTATTTTTCAGAAAAAATTCTTCAGTCAAGAGGTATGGAAGGAACCATGTTTCAGAGATACAATGATAGTTGGTAGTTCTAGTGGACTTATAAGTGGTCTTGCTACTTTTATATTTACAAGTAGGTGGAACTAATGACAATACTAGTTTATTACACATGTAATACAAATGTACAGATACAGCATTCTCACTAAAGATTTTTAAAGGCAAGTCCAGGGACTCGTCATTTTTGAAGTGAGAAGATGAAATTTTATTGCTAAATCTATTATTTAAGTCCCCATGACAAAATAGAACAAGGAAATGACATCAAGTTTAGATGATCATAAACTTTTGTCAAAAAATGATATTTGTGCTCAGCTTATACAGTGTACTAGTACATAATTTTATAATCTTGATGTATCTTTGGACTCACCAGTTTGAAAATTATGCAACCAGGACTCATGGACTTGCCTTAGTGAGAAACCTGGAGATTAGAACATATAACATGATAAGCCCATTTAATTTTCATCTTGGTGACGTGTCAAATAACTTTTTTAATTGTACATGTAAAGGTTTATCATGGATATCAGAAAACACAAGTTTTAGTTATTATTATTCACCTTTCATATTATATTCAATATTTATTCTGTTTTACAGGGAGATTTCCCAGTTAATTTTCAAAAGTTGTCATCATATCGAATTTTTAACTGTACTCTTTTATGATAAATACAGCCTTCATCAGTGTTCTAGCAACCTATCTAGGATTTAAGAGCTGAAGGAGCACAGTTTTAAGATGACAGGCACGTGAGCACAGTTTCTTGTCTGAAAAGGGACACAAACTTGATCATGTAGATAAATAGTTGAATTACTGGATTTACAGTATTTTGGTGTTTGAAAAAGCTTTTTCCACTTGTTATAATGATTTTTCTTGTATTATAATGTGCTATAAATTCAGAAATTAGTGCCAGGTTTTTCTTAATGCAAATAATGCATCTTGTTGAGTATCCCAATAATAAGAAGTAGCATTCTGATATCTGATACATATATCTGTATACAGCTTTTCCTGAAATGGCTATAATTATCTCACATTTTTCTCCATTCATAAAAAATCGCAATAAAAAATGCACACAATAATTTCTAAATTTACAGTATTCATTTTCAATGATAAAAATAAAACACATAGGGTAGGACTATAAGGGTAGAGGGAGCTGATTCCCTCTAAGTTGCGCTTGCTAGACACTGCTTATATATTCCAAGACATGTACATATGTTATAGATTTGAATTCTATGTGCTTCTTTTTATCTTCCAGGTAGTGGACGAAAAATGTTTCATGCATCATTTCTAGGATTTTTGGTACCATATATTGGTTATGGGTAGGTAGAATGGATTTTATTAAAGAAGCCCTACTTGAAAATTTGTAATATTAAATCAATTGGAACAATATGTGCCTTTTATTTGAACAGAGATTGAAAAACAAATATTCCTGCCATTATAGCCATTAGGACAATTTCAATGGTAATGATAAAGTTTGTCAAAAACAAAAAAAATCAACATTTTAGTTAATAATCTTTTAGTTAATAATTGATATGAAAATGATCTTCTATCACTGACAAATCTTTATGTGTGTAAAAGTTGTATTTCTTTATTGCAAAAGTGTTTAATTGATAAATAAACATCAACAAATTTATCTTCTTCCATATTTGATATTGATGAAGGGATGCTGAATCATACCAAAATGACATGAAACAGTTTTAGATTGGGTAGGTGGGTGTCGGACTACCACTAGAAAATAAGGCAATTTTACTTTTAAACAGTTTTCTTCATGAAGGTCAGTCCTATATTGGTTAAACTGCTTGTTTGTTACTGTGACTTGACTTGAATTTCTCTCTACCTATTACAATCAAAATTCTGATCAAATTGCAATTTGTTTTATCAAACCAAACTGTTCAACTGGTCAGAAATTTTGACAAACTGCTGTAGAAAACCACAGTCAAGTCGTGAAAGTGAAAACTTTAGGTCTTAAAAATTTCTGACCAATTGAACAGTTAGGTTTGATAAAACAAATTGCAATTTGGTCAGAATTTTGAATAAACTGCAATAGAAGAGCAACACTTACAGTCAAGTCACAGTAAATGTTGAAATGAAAATAGGTCTTATATCAATCTTAATAGAATTTATCACAGACACAAAAGATGTTAACACAATGAAATCTGTTATAATTTCTGTTGTTACATTTGACTGACACCTCTCTGAAGTAACATTTCTAAATTATGATTATTTTTTTTTTCAGAACTTTTTGTTGGTACACCACATCAAAACAGCAGGCATACATAGACAAAATAAACGAAACAATAGCAAAAATAGACAAAGATGAACCAATATAGACATACTGTGCCATTTCAATAATTGTATGTTACAGTTTATGTAATATGATGGGATGTGATCCTGAAACATTACTTGCCTTGGATGAGGATGCATTTTACAAACTCATGTTATTTTATATGTTCATTATTGATGTGCCAAACTGTTGTTTTGTCAACTGTCAACACTTAAGTACACAAATACACTTGTGTTACAATATTCAATGTGAAATACAAGAAGATTTTTGTTTTGAGAGTTTTTTTGTAGATTCATTATTGGCTTAGGTAAATTTGAATCTCTAAAGTTTATTGTAGATAACTTTGATTGATTTTTATTCATGTAGATTAAAATGGTTAATCATAATTACAATTAGGCAAAGTTTTGTAAATTGTCTTTAAAACTATCAATTTGAGAGTGAAGTATTAAGCCTGATATCTAAAAATTGTGAAATTACAACACTTTTTGATGCAAATTATGTTTTTATTTTATTGATTGGTGTCTTAAATAAAGAATGTCAGTCATTTGGATGAATTGTCAACTATGCTTTGTTGGGTATATTAGAACGACCCTTTTTCTGAACTTATAAATTTGTAGTTCATTAAGTAATTATATAAATTCATGATTTAAAGTATGAATTGCAGACAAACTTTAGTAAAAAGAATTGATACTTCTAATCTGACATCATGTTTTGTTTTGTTTTAAAATATAAAAAAACAAAATTTTTGTTTACATTTTTTTCCATTGATAATGTTTATATTTGAGGAAGTGACACAACGTTAAAATTTGGATGCTGTTGTATTGTTGATTCAAAATTTCAATAAAAATCTTAGAAGCCTTGAAGGAACACATCATTAATGAATATAACAGTTTCTTGAATTGAATTGACATAACAAAAAAATGAAGGATATGTGGTTTGATTACTTATGATAAATCTAACCACCTGAAGATGAGAGGACAAGGACCTGAAAAACTTATTGTTCTTGTCCCTAAAAGCCAGATTTGACTTCCTGCAGCAGGTTTGTGCAAATGATATCTGTTTTGGTCTAATATTTTGGGATGATAGATCAAAGCCTGCTTCCTTTAATCTTTTCTGAAACCCACTGAAATAGACTAGAGGCGCCAAGAAGCCTGAATCGCCCATCCAGATATAGTTTTATTTGCCACCAAGTTTGCAGCCCAATCAGCATGAAATGAGGAAGTTAGTAGAGAGTCACCCAACCATCATTTTTATAAAGATTGAAAAGATTTGGGAATGTAGTTGCAGCAGAGAAGAAATTTGAAATATGATCAATCAAATTCATTTTATAATTTTTCCATGCATTATTCCTCCATAGGTAAATATTGGCCATCTGATTTCAAAAGGGATGATTAAAATGTGATTTTCCATAGGCTTCAATGGAAACCTCTGTGCCACTGTAGTCACCATGTATACCACCCAATCAGCACGAAAACAACGATTTTTGTGGAGGGTGTTATACCTATTAAGTTTTAAAAAATTTGGCATTGTAGTTTCAAAGGAAAAGAAATTTGAAATTTCAGACCATCAGAATTTAAGAATTGCCTCTGGTTGCCATTTTTAGCTCACCTGGTCCAAAGGGCCAAGTGAGCTTTTCTCATCACTTGGCGTCCGTCGTCCGGCATTGTCCGTCGTCGTCGTCGTTAACTTTTTACATTTTGAACTTCTTCTAGAGAACCACTGAATGGAATGAAACCAAACATGGCATGAATGTTCCTTATGAGGTGCTTGTTACTTTGTAGCGGATCCATCATCAAAGATGGCTGCCAGCGGGGAACTTAGTTTAACATAGGACCCTATGGGCAATACATACAAATGTCTTCTTTTAGAGAACCACTGAATGGAATGAAACCAAACATGGTATGAATGTTCCTTATGAGGTGCTGACCGAGTGTTGTTACTTTGAAGCCGATCCATAATCCAAGATGGCCGCCAGCGGGGGACTTAGTTTAACATGGGACCCTAAGGGAAATACATACAAATGTCTTCTTTTAGAGAACCACTGAATGCAATGAAACCAAACATGGCATGAATGTTCCTTATGAGGTGCTGACCAAGTGTTGTTACTATGAATGCCGATCCATAATCTAAGATGGCCGCCAGTGGAGGACTTAGTTTAACATAGGACCCTATGAGAAATACATACAAATGTTTTCTTTTAGAGAACCATTGAATGGACTGAAACCAAACATGGCATGCATGTTCCTTTTGAGGTGCTGACCAAGTGTTGTTACTTTGAAGCTGATCCTTCATCCACGATGGCCGCCAGATGGGGACAATGTTTAACAAAGGACCCTATGGACAATACATACAAATGTCTTCTTTTAGAGAACCACATACTGAATGGATTGAAACCAAACATGGCATGAATGTTCCTTATGAGGTGCTGACTAAGTTTTGTTACTTTGAAGCTGATCCTTCATCCATGATGGCCGCCAAATGGGGGACTTCCTTTAACATAAGACCCTATGGGAAATACATACAAATGCTTCTTCTAGAGGTGCACTGAATGGAATGAAACCAAAACATGGCATAAATGAGGTGCTGATGGAGTGTTGCTACTTTGTTGCCAATTTACTGTTCAAGATGGCCACCAGGATTTTTTTATCAAATTACAGGACCAATATTAAACCAAATTTGGCCTCACTCATTATTAGGGTATCTGTTATGATTTTAATCTATTTTTACATGATTTCCAAAACCAAAGTAGAATCAGGTGAGCGACACAGGCTCTTGAGAGCCTCTAGTTTTAAATCTATTGAAACAAAATGAAAATTTTTATAGACATCCTTCAATACATTATTCCTGCAAAATTTTGTTAATGCATGAACCGTATTAGCCATCTGGTTTCAGAGGAGTTGATGAAATATGATTTCCCATAGGCTTCAATGGAAACTTGTGTGCCACTGCGTATGCCACACTTGTAGCACAGAATGAGGATTTTTTTTAAGCTGGCCTTCCAATCATCACTCCTATAAAGTTTGAAAAGATGTGGCATTGTAGTTTCATAGAAGAAGAAACTGAAATTTTTACCAATCGGAATTGAAAATTGTATCTGGTAGCTATGTTTTTACTACATCCCAATGAAATGGGAAACTTAAATAAAATTTAAAGTACCCTTCCATACATTATTCCTACAAAGTTTAGTTGATATTGGCATCTTGTTTCATAGAAGATGATGAAAATATTATTCCTCATATACTTCAATGGAAACCTATGTGCCACTGTAGCCACCATGTAAACAACCCGGATCTGCACGAAATGAGGAATTTTTGTAAAGGGTCTTCCAATCGTCATTCCTATAATTTTGCCGTTTAGCTTCATTTGAAAGTCCTGCAAAATTTGGTTCAATTTGGCCCTGTGGTTTCAGATGAGATGAGATGAAGGATTGTCCAGCAAAGTGATGACAATAGCTCACATGGTCCAGCACAAATAAACTTGATACAGTGATATGTCTCGATTGTCAGCAAAAAATTTAGAACAAGACAATCCGATGGATAGCAACATTGCTAATTGATTCAAAGTTGCTGGCCCATGACATAAGGGGCAGTGCTTCGAAATGATCGTCGAACTGATATGTACTGATAGTAATGCAGCTTTATAGAAAATATCATTGATCTAACTCAAGTAGTTCCTGTCAAACTAACTTAACATTGAAAACTGCTTAATTGAAAGTCAATTGACCATGACCTAGGGAGCTGGGCCTCAAAATAGTTGTCAAACTGATATGTACTGATGATAATGCAACTTTATAGAAAGTATCATGGATCTATCTCAAATAGTTTTTATCAAACTGACTTAAGCAGAAAACTTAACAATTGCTGATACCGCTGATGGAAAAGCAACACCTATGTCTGGCCTTCTGCGACTTTTGTCACAGGCGAGACAAAACGAGGCTATGGGAAGCTGGAGTAATTGAACAGGAAAATAATAGTGTGCACTACTCCTCTGAACCTCAGTAAATATTAACAACAAGAATATGCTCACACTATTACATGTCCATGGTCAGTGAACAGTGAAATCTCAGTCAGAACTGCATATATATATATATTAAACTGTTCACTTCTGATGAATATATTTACTGAGTTCAAGTTTGTCTGATCATAAACTATCTAAAAACCAAACTTGAACCTGGTAGGGTATGGACAAACTAGCAGACAGGAAAACCTAATGCCCTTCTACATTTGTAATGTTTACTCTGAACAAACAACATGTAAAATTTGGTGTCCCCCAAGGTTCTATACTTGGTCCTCTATTGTTTGTGCTATTTATAAACGACCTTCCCTTATGCATTGAAAATTGTGAAACAGACCTATATGCTGATGACACCACTCTTCATAAATCAGGGAAAAACATAGAAAATATACATGATGATGTTCAAGAAGATTTATACAGGGTTGAAGAGTGGTGCAAAATGAATAACATGTTCATTAATGCAAATAAAACAAAATGTTTGGTTACTGGAACAAAGCAGAAACTATCAATTCAGACTTATCAACCAAACTTAATAATAGATTCAAAAGTATTACAAAATTCTTCATGTGAAAAATTATTAGATGTTAAAATTGACAGCACACTTAACTGGAGAAATCAAATTGACCAAGTTTGTGCTAATATATCATCCAGAATATACCTTCTTTCTAAAATAAAGAAATTTTTAGATATAAATACAAGGAAAACATATTACAATGGGTATATTCTGCCCCTGATTGACTACTGCTGTATTATTTGGGGTGAATGTAAAAATGGAGGGATAACAAGAATTTTAAAACTCCAAAAAAGGACAGCAAGATTAATTCTAGATGCAGATCCTTTATACCCCTCAGCCCCCTTATTTAAAAAACTTGGGTGGATGACAGTTGACAATAGAATAAAATACCACAAATATTTACTTCAATATAAATGTATGCGTATGGAAGCACCAATGTACCTAGTTCAAAAGTTTAAACTGAAATCAGATAATAATCCTTACTCCCTGAGAGGCGTCACTCAAGGTAATCTGGTAGTTCCTAAGCCAAAAGCTGAGCTATTTAAGAAATCTTTTGTTTATTCTGGATCAGTGTTATGGAATGGACTACCACACAAAATGCGTAAAGCTCAAAACACTTATACTTTTAAACAAAGTATCAAGAAGTACTTAACACAGTCCTGATAAGATTATGTTTTCTACAATGTATTTGTATTTTCTTTTATTTTTATTTGTATTTGATTTTTTGACTACATGTACATCTTGAACAGCCTTATATCTTATCATGTTAGTAATATTACATTGAACTAATTGACTGTAAATTAACTATGTGTAAATATCTGTTTTTGATTGTATTGTAATTTGTATGTGAGGGCCTCCGGGAAGATTAGTTTATTGTAACTAACTGAGTTTACCCTCTTTAAATAAAGAATTTATTATTATTATTATTATACTATCATATAAAGCAAGGAGATGTGGAATGATTGCACTATCATATAAAGCAAGGAGATGTGGAATGATTGCCATTGAGACTATCCAACAGAGTCCAAATGAAGCGGGTTTAAGCAACTTTAGGTCACAATGAGCAAAACTGATACCGTATAGTCAGCTATAAAAGGTTTCAACATAACAAAAAAGTGAGACATTTCAAACAAAACAATAAACAGCAACCAACTGAATCAAAGACTCCTGACTGCATACCAGCACATATAGAATGTGGCAGGGAGAAACATGATTGTGAGCATT